AACCTATGCTCTTAGTCTTGCCTGCTTTTAAAATCTAATTGGAAGAGAAGAATAAGATTCTATGATTCTATATGATGGGAAGGTGAAGGAGATCACAGGCTGGAGAAATCATCAGCTGGAGATAGGTTGAACAGCTGCCTCCTGTAGGGAGTGCCTTTGGCAACTGCGTGGCCTTGGTACAGGTGGAGCTCTGGGAAAGCAGAGTGTAAACTCAAATGTGCCTTATGACAAGCCTTTAGCAGCTGTTTGTAATGTTAATTAACTGGGTGATTAGAGGAGTAATACAGACCACACCTTTTCAGCACACCAGGCTGGGTGCTCTGGCACTGCTCTTAACTGTGTGTGCTTGCCAAGATCCAAACACCTCCCCGGCTGCTGCTGGGGTCTTCCTGTGCCTCAGTAAGGCAGGCAAAAATGCTTGGTTGGAGAGCTTGGATGCCTCCGTGACGGCTGAAGGGGCTGGGAGAGGAGGGTCCCTGCTGCTCTCCATGGGTTGCTGAGCAGTCCCAAAGTGGCAGGGAGCTCTGGGGATCAGGTAGATTCCCCTGCAGGCACTGTCCCTTCTGGTGCGGAGCTGGATCTTGCTGCAATGGACCCGCTGCTTAGCGCAGGGCATGTGCAGTGGAGGTGGGTGAGCGGACAAGTGAACTTAATTCCCTTACGCACTCTGTAGGAAGTCTTCTCTGCTTAAGGCTTGCTATCTGGTCCCACCAGGAGGGGAAGGGCATGAGTAGCAGCAGTATGTGAGTTGTCAGCGTGAAGTGCTGGCACAGGCTGAAAGCCAGGCAACACCTTTCTCCTCCGGTGTGTTGTCCCCCTCTTCCTAGCCTGTTCTCTTCCACTGGGGTGTTAGTGCTGTCACTGCTGCTTTATTCAGTGATTTGTCTCTCCTGCAAAAGTGTTCTGTTCCTTCTACCTTCACAGGTGGTTTTCTGGCTTTTTTCTTCTCCCTAGGCCTCTACTTTCTTTAGTTGGACCTCATTGACTTTTCTCCTTTACTTTCTTTTGAGTAACTGCATGTGACTTGTGTTAGCACCCTCTGTAGCTTTGCTGCATGCTGCCTGGTTATACAGCTGAACTAAAGGTGTTGCAGGTTGCTGTAGGCATTGGCTTAGATACCCGCAAGTGAAGGAAAGCTGCTCTGGCCAGGAGGGTGCTGTGGGCTGTGAATGGAGGAGAAGCTGAGGAAAAGCAGCCCTGAAGCCAGCCAGCAGCTGCCAGCTGAGGCAGTTATGCAGTGCTGCTAATGAACCCAGATTTTCAGAAAGAAACCCTGATGCTAAGCATCAGCATGCTTTGCCCCCAGTGCCCTCACCCTCTCCTCTGGCAGTGGTGTGTGCTGCCCTGCTGCCTCTGCCCGCTCTGCGGCTCTGGAAGCAGAGCCCAGCAACAGCACCTAATACAGGGCTGCTCAAAATGAACATCCGCCCTTGGCTGTATCCAAACCTTCCAAAGGCTCCCCTCACACCCTGGATCTTTGAGAACAGCACCAGCCTGAAAAGAACAGACTTGCTGCTTTGCCAGCACTAAAGACATTCTTTAAAAACTTGGCGGTAACAATTCCTTTCTTGACCAGTTATGCTCACCTGACACCTTAACTGTGGGGCAGTTGCTATTCTACAGCCCAGGTGTTTATTAATAAAATATCTGAAAACAATTACTGTAATGGTGATGCTTTTATTAAATTTATTATGCTTGTATTACAATGTATCCAGGAGTGGAGAACTATACAGTATGTTACATGTTATAAATATATTTATTTCTGAAAATACATGAATATATTTTATATAAGGCTGTAATTAAAAAAGAGTTGCTAGTTTGTTTTAGTTTAAAAAAAATCCAACAAACCGCTAATGTGAATGGAGATGGTGGGGAATACCAGTTCATGATGCTATGTCTTAAAACACTTTAAAGTCAGTTTGCACTGATTCACATTCCTTATGGCCTCTGTAAAGCTGGAGGGATGACAGAGGGTGTAAGTTAATGCAGGATTTTAGTCCCCTGTATTTATGGAGATATACAGACTATTCATAGAATAATCAAGTTATAAATCTTTCTAGCTTTGGATGAAGCTAGCAAGATACACAGTGAGATATCCTGCAGCAGCTACAGATGAAACATTAAACACAGCACCTACTTTAGGGTGCTAACTTGGAGTCAGCACAGATCAATTTTTGTATGGGGGTTTGTTTGTTTTGGGTTTTTTTTGAGATGCTAAGTAACAACCCTTCTGAGTACTTGCAGAACCAGGCGTGGGCTGTTGCCTTCACTCACCCCTGCAGACTGCAGCTGCCCTGGGAGAGTGTAGCTGGGTGCTTTGAATCTCAGAAGAGATCCTGCTCTGGTATTGAGGAGTCCAAGGGCTCCAGCTGACCCAGGTGAGCAAGGGAGAAGCATCTGTTTCTGAAAGGCTAAGCTTGCTGAAGTTGATCCGTTCCTGCCAGCTTCTTGAATCTTGGTTCCTAGGCAAATTTGGGTTGGGGAGGGATTCTTAAACAGTAATTACTTGACTTGCAATTATGTTGTAATTTAGGGGATAGAACAATCTTTTAACAAGAGGCAAAGTTGGTTTCTTTAACTCTTTATGTGCATTAATTATTGTGCTAGTACCAGTAAGAGCTGGTGTGCAGAGACCACAGCAACCACGGGAAGCATGCACTACCTGTTCCTTTAGCCTGGAATCAGTGGGCACGTGGCAATAAGGCAGCCACCTAACGTGGCTGTAGTGTTACACGGTTGTTAATGTGGCCCCAAAGAACAGCAGCTTATAAAGGATGCATGTAACTGAACAACTCTTCCTTGCAGCTCTCACGCCTGTTCCCAGCAGAGAGCGCAGAGGCTGAGCCATACAGCAGCATGGCCACCCCACCTACAGCCTCAGGCCCCCACCTGCACAGCCAGAGGATTTGACTTATAACTTAAAAGTAGGAATTCAAGACTGTTTCCATTTCCCCCCACCCCAAAAAAAAAAAAAAAAAATTGATAGCAAAAGAGCTGGGCTGCCTGGTGAAGCTGAGGTCTTGCCTTGGATGCACCTTCCAGTCTCTTGAAAAGCTGATTCCCACTCTGGTCTCTGGAATGAGCCTGCTCAATGCCAGCTTCTGCATATGGTAGCACTGGCGTTGAGGGGCCTCTGCAGAAGGAGCAGGCCCACAGGATTAGCAGCTAC